TAACATCTTAAATACACACCAAAATATGGGATATCAGAGACTATATATATAAAAGATTGTATAATACTACCACTAAAATGTCAAATCTAAAAAGATATATGATCAACAAGACTTGTGATTTTAATTAAAATTTAATCAATAATAAAAAGTGCATTAAAGCGACTATTGTTAACATTTTTTAAAATTAATTTTAGGCTAAAAACTTATTTTGGTCTCTTATAATAATTATTTTTTTCAATTTAGTCCCCCTTTTATTTTTGGTCTCAATTTAGTCCCTAATAAATTACTTGGTTGTAATGTCGGACTTCTGTCCAAATTATTTAAACAGAGTTAACTGTTGGCCACGTGGATGCCACGTAGATACATAGGTGGATGCCCATTCCAAGTGCAAAATTAACACACCAATATAGTGCAACCAGAACGGGCTATTCTGGTTTCAGAACGGGTCGTTCTGGTTCTAGAATGCCAAACACAAACGGTCGATGATTATAGTTCACGGTTGTGAATCGTGCAAGAAAAAAGACCCAAGGTACAAAACATTTCAAACACTTGATTTGGTAATATTGTCAATGGGGATTGATAACTTCAATTACTAAACATTTGGGTTATATAGTGTATCATTAAGGACAATGCAGTGTATCACTAATGGTAGCAAGTTTTATTTCATTATTGGTCAAATTGGAGTGAACTACTTACTACCAAATTGATACTATATAGTCAAGGATGAAACGACACGGTATTTTCCCTTGAAGTCATTGACCGATGTACCCCAACAACAACAACCTGTTCTTGAGGATATACAACCTGAAGTAAAGGAAGAGGATACACAAGACCAACATTTTACCACACAACCACATGTACAGGTAGATAATGTTGATATCCTATCAACCATTCAGTGTTATATGATGGATAAGATGTATTATTGACACCTTCAGCGTTATCCAAATGATTTCCCTTCTTAGTAATTTCTTTGAATTTTTTTAGTATATGTTATGTTATGTTATGAATTTTTGTTTTCAATCTCTGAACCATATTTCTATCTTTGAATTTATGATATGTTATGAATTTTTATTTTCAATTCTTGAATCACATTGCGCCATTTTGTTGAACGTACGTATGTGGTTGGCATTTTAGAACGGCCCGTTCTGAATCCTGAACGGTCCGTTCTGGTTTTAGAACAGTCCGTTCTGGTTTTAGAACGGCCCGTTCTACTGCACTCGTGGTGTGTTAATTTTGCATATGGAACGGCTCGTTCCAAATTCAAAATTAACACACAACATGTGCAACCAGAACAGACCGTCTGGGTTCTGGTTTCAGAACGGACCGTTCTGGTTCCAGATGCATTAATGAAATTTGGCATCCACCTATGCATCTATATGGCATCCACGTGACATCCACGTGACCAACAGTTAACTCTATTTAAATAATTTGGACGGAAGTCTGACATTGCAACCAATTAATTTATTAGGAACCAAATTGAGACTCAAAATAAAAATGAGACTAAATTGAAATAAACAATTATTATAAGAGACTAAAATAGGTTTTTAGCCTTAATTTTAACTTATAAAAAATTTATTTTAGTGTTATTAGTGGATATTATTGTCATATAATATATTATTCTCTGTGAGCAAAATGGTACTTGATCCAGAAATCTTGTTTGGTTTGACGTGTTTATTCTTCTACCAACAATCACCGTATTTCGCGGATTGGTACAAAAAAATGCTGTCTCACCTAAAAGTGGCTCATTGGATACAATTTTAAAGTCACACCAAATATACAATTATATGTCTAATCAACTCTTATATAAACAAATATTATTAGTGAGAAAGTTTTTATAAACTTTTTTCGATAACAGAGTTTTTAAGGAGTCTTATAATTTTACATCTAATTCAATTTTTATTTATATAATTATTTATAAATTAAATTTTAATATTTTAAAATAAATTATCAATAAATATAAAATAATATTATGTTACAATATAAATTATTTATCATAAGTTTAAAATATAATTTATATATTTAAATATATAATTTATTTATATACATAATTTATTTTAAATTTTAATTATATATAATAAGCATTTTATATGTGCATTTTACATCATAAAGTTTTGAAGCAGTGGAGCAACCAGAACATCAATTTTTCGTGCCTTAGTGGTAAGCCTTAATATCAAGGATAGTCATAACAACCTTGTTTTTAATTTTATCTGACTCCTCAACGAATTAGTGTGATAGCTAACAAGAACCATTAATGCATTGTTTAGACAATAAAAAATAAAGTTTTCTTTTTATAGAAAACGTGTTAATTGTCAACACTTTTTTTACCATGATTTCTAAAGCAATATGTAACACCATAATTTTCTACACGCTATGGTTAAAGAATAAGAAAAACATAAAGTTTACACAAAAGTGTTCCCAAACTTATTTTACCATGATTTACAATATATATGCAACATGTAACGCCCTAAATTTCCGAGCTAGAAATTTTCAAGAATTATTTGAAATGTAGAGATGGACAAAGGATGACAAGACGAGAGCTTTATGTTATTTTAAAAGAATTTTCTGAGTTACGGATGAAATGTTAACAATTGCATGTTTGTCCCTCAACTTTTCTGTAATTATAAATTTATATTGTCTTTACCTATAATTTCATTGCTAGCGTTGTTGGCATGGAATCTGGGTTGGGGGATTAAAGTTTATTTAACGTACATCAGTTAGACATATTAATACAAAAGTTTAGTTCAGAGTATGAATGCTTAAAAAGTTACAAAAGTAATTAATATACTGCAATATTATATTAATATTAATTAATATATATCTTTTTTATCCCTACATTATTAGCAATAATGTGTGTCTTAGAAGGTGTGTTTTCATTTGAAGAAAAAAGAAGAAAGGGAGGGAGAGCTAGCTTGAGGAAGAAAAAAAAATCAAATAATACATTTTAAGGTGATTGAAGCATCTAAAACCCATCCTCTCCTCCTTCTTTGCTTTGTCCATCCATCTCTTTTTCCTGTTGAAGAATAACATATGGGGCTTTCATGATTTGATGTGTTTGTCAGATATTTGTCACTGAAATGGGTTTATATTACTTTGAGATCTCACTTGTCCTCGAAAGTAACTAGTTAGGAACATTGATATTGGGTCCTTTTTAATGTTATAGTGTTGTGTTGTGTTTGAAATGATAGAATACGGTGTTTATCATGAAAACCTTCAAGTATGAAAGAGAGATTCACACTAACTTGCTAGGTATTAGATTGCTAGTGTTTAAGCATTGAGAAATTATCTAGTTGTCTTGGATTACGTATTTATATTCTTGAGAAATCCCTAAGTGACATATTTAAGTTTTTTAATTTACAAAATAAAAAAAAATAATGATAACATATCATATGAAACCTAGACATTGAACCTAAAAGTACAAGTGCTCTCAAATTCTAGTATCAAAGCAATAACAGTTAATCATTAGGCTGGATAAAAATTAATGTAAATTTTGTACTTATTAAGATGCAGAAGAATTGATGTTTGATTCTAATCTAATACAACATTTGAATAGACAATGATATATATAAAAGTTATTCGAAGTGATAATATACAAATTTTATATAATCAAATGATATGTCAACCATATTATTTGTGATACAAGATTTATTTGTTGATAAATTTGTTTTGCATGATAAAGAATAATTTCGTTGTACTTACATTGCACTTAAATAAATAAATGAATTATTTGATATGTTAATATTATGTTTAATATGAACAAACATGACACTTATATCTATATTATAATTGACAAGTAAACAAGGGATGGCTCCCAAAAATTGGGACAACTTTCTGACGCGAGGTTTGTCTAGGAGATTTGTTTAATGATGTTAAAATTAAGGAATCATCATGATTCATATAGAAAATCAAAGGGCCATTTTTGCATTAATAATGAGCTCAAACCATAAGTAATGGCAATCTTACAATATTAGCATAATCATTCATAGAATTCAAATATACGGATTCATGTCATGAAATTGATATCTAGCGTCATTGAAAAAATTCTGAGAAAGTACTAAGACCTTGTATTATTATGATATAAACCTACTTATATAAAATCATTACTTTAAGAACTATTTAAGAGACTAAAGGATAGTTTCCTTTATAAAATACAACAAATTATTAAATGTTAGTGCGAAGCTTGTTTAAGTGTACATCAAATCAAATTCTGCAGCATAATGATCATGATCAGCAGTTACTGTTAGTTTCAAATAAGAATTCTTCAAAATGGATGGTTCAAAGACGTCAATTTAAAGGTTTTGACTCATTAACATGGAGATTAGCCTTTATCTTGAATTCAACTCACACAAGTTCATTCAATAATATGCTAAATTTTCTGTAATTCATTGTTGTGTTTGCATTCGTAAGTTCATTCAATGATTGTGAAAAATAGTGTAAGTTTAGCTTCCACTTCCTAATTTTAAAACAATTTGTGTATGTTTATGCTTGCTTAGTAAATACCACTTTGCTCTAAAATACTCTTGCATGTGGCGTGTTTTGGCTTCAGCACCCACAACATTTTAGCATAATTCAAATTTTTTCATTCATCTCAATTTTTTTTATCTATCAAACCTCTCCACTAGACCAACCTAGTAGTTGCATACATCTCAATATACACAAGTTACTTTCCATATTCACTGCCCAAACCAGTGGGGGCATGTTATGATTTCGCATTAACTAAGACAGTTCATAGCAAAGTCACTTTCAAAATATGCTAAATTCACTTTTCGAATTAAGATGCAAAAACCACAATCAATTTCCTTTTAACCATAACCAATTGTATAAAATCAAGATGATCCAGAATCAAATTTGAAAATGCTCCTCTTAAACTTAATTACAGAGTATGTCTTTGGTGTGTACCACAACAACGAATTGTACCAACCATCAATTGAAAAATGCATATAAAAATTTAAAAGGATTATAAAAAAAATATTAAAAAAATCAATCGAATCAGAAGACCATCATAATGAGAAAATTTAAAAAGCAGTTCCTGCTCACATTTGCATAATGCAGCTTAAGATTTTAACAAGATAATAAAAACCAATATTCAAATGTCTGCAAGCAAAAGCCAAAAAAGGACACCCGATATTCTAACAATGAAATTGGGAGAAGAACAGGCATCAATCCACTAACACAGAAGACCTCGAAATAAACATTCCTAGGATGTCTCTCAATGATACATAAAAAGTCATGAAATAACCAAAATGTACTAACTGAAAGAAAATTCATAACAAAATTTGAAAATTGCACATGATATCATGCCTAAGATGCGGTTTTCTTCAGCTTAGCAAGTTCTTGCCTAACAACAGATGCCCTCTGCAAAATTAAAAGTTTGTATTTTAGCTTAAACTCCAAAAATATTACTATGATATATCAACACAATAGAACATTAAACTATGATATATCACCAAATGCGAGAAGGGTAATACCAAAATTGAAAATTAAAAAAGAAAAAATATATATAGGCATGTAAATGAAACAAACCTTAATCTTTGCCAACATTATCTTGAACCTATCAAAATCATTGAGGGCTGCCCTCCTCTTCTGCACAATCAATTTTCTGCCCCAAGAACTCTTCTCCCACCTGTTCTTGACATCTGTTCAACAAAAAAAAAACAATGAACAAAAAGGAATGCTTCCAATAAAATAAAGATTTCTTCACAAAAACTTGTACCAACCAGCAGCCTCCATGGCTTGAATGAGGTCCTTCTTCTTGGGGACCCTCTTAATATCAATCTTAATGTCAGTGAGAGAGAGCCTCTTGAGGTTCACTTGGGATCTCACCATATCGGGAGCATCAACAAGAGCCTGTCAACATATCGTAGTAGAAAAATTATGATACACATTATCAACATCAAAGACCCATAGCTGTACCAAGCACATCCAACTTTTCAATAATGTGCACATCTCAGACACAGGCACATGTGTACAAATCCTTATGACCCAGTTTAAATACAACTAACCAAAACCACTAGCTTCACAAAAGAAACAAATCAAACAGAAAAAGAAAACCCAAAACCATCCATCATACTTATCAGCAAGATGGACAGCTCTAACTCCTCCAATGGAACTTTGTATTATTACTTGCACATTTGCACCAAGACCCAAAATTTGAATGATGCTACACAAACACAATTATACAATGCCTTATGAGTTACAGACCAATTAAAATACAACCAAGAACAGCTTAAAAAAAAGCAAAATAAAACATAAAATCATCCATCAAACTCATAAATAAGGTGGGCAACTATAATTCAAAAAGGTTAACTTGATAGAATTACATACCAAACCGATACCAATTGATCCAAAAACAAAAAAATATAACCACATATTAAATGAATACCAATACCCAAAATTTAGTTCTTTTTACACACATACAAATAATAACCTTATAACTCAATTAAAATACATCTAGCAGAACTTACAGCTTCAAGAAACCTAAACCCTAAAACCACAATGAAATCCACGACGACAATTTATCGACACCCAGATAGAAAAAAATCTAATTTTCTTGCTTCAACCTAACAGGAAATCAAAACAAACAAAAGGGCACGACACCACGAACCTAATCCAACGAAACGCAGCAAATCAGAAAAAGAAAACGAAAGGGGCATACTCTAGTTTGGTCAATGACATCGACAATGACCACGAGCCTCCCATACTCTTTGCCATAGTTGATCTGAGCAACCCTTCCAATCTCAACGAACCTCTTGAAAGGCTGCAACACAGATCAGAAAAGAAGGGGAAAAAAACAGAATTTTTCAGTTAGAACCAGAAAACCCAGATGCGGAAACGCATAAGAGTGAAAAAAGAGTAAAAGGGCTGATCAATGGGGACTCACCATTTTCGGGTACGGAGTTTCTGTGACTGCTGAAGAGGTTAAAAGAAGAGAGAAGTTTAGGAGTTAGGGTTTTTGTTGAAGTTGCAATTTTATAAAGAAAGGAACAGGTGTTGTGATGGGGAACACACATGGGCCAAACCATACTAGGGTCATATGCTTGTGTCGTAAAAGAATGTTGTGTTGGGTTTAGAATAAGCGGGTTATAGGGGAAGAAAGCCCAGCAGGCCCAAATCTTATATGTGAATTTAGTAAACAGTGTTTTTATAATGTTATAATTTTATAAATTTAAGTTTGATAATATATTTTATCAAATAATTTTTTTAATGAGTGATTCATTCTTGAAATAAAATGTAATTTACTAGTGTATATTAAACACGAATGACTATTTCATGAAAGTGTTTGTAAAATTTTCTTTGATGAAAATGTTTTTAGGTATATTTATTTGACTAGTATTTTAATTTGTATAATAAAAATATATAAATAAAATATCTCTTTTTAATCTTCACTTGTTTTTAGATAGTTATACCATGTTATTATATTTTTTTCACCAACATATTTCTTCAAGTTAAAATAGAAAAAAATGTATATAAAAAATAATTGTTTATTCTATCAATAATAACTATTCATTTATTTTGTAACTATTTTTTTAAGAGTATTTTACTCTTAACTAATTATACATATCTCACTTAATTCACATGTTGTAACTTTTACTATATCTTTTTTTTTTTAAATAAAATTTGTAGAGACATGAAATACCTCTATACTAATAATATAAAAATAAATATTTTATTTAAATATATATAAATTATATTAAAAAATTGTATAAATAAATATTTTCAAATGTGAACAATATTTTATTTATGATAAATAAATTATACTATAAAATAAGATTATTTTTAATTATTGATAATTTATTTTAAAAATATTAAAATTAAATTCATAAATAAATAGGGCAAACAAAATTGAAATAAAAAAAATATATATAAAGGAATTCCTAATACCCCTTCCATCAAATTAAAAAGTGGTGAGGAATTTTAGAAATTAAAAGAATTTGAAATTTTTGAAATATAAATTACTTTAATTCTAATTTTTATTATTATTTAAACATTTTTTTTTATCGGTAAATTGAAATTCCTTAAATTTTAATTTTTTAGTTTAGACATAATTTCACTATATTGATTTCTATCATGGTAAAATTGATTTTATATATATATATATATATATTGAAATTTTAAGATTCAATTTTATAAAAATAAATATTAGCCAAATTTTAAATATTTAATAATTTTAAACATTAATATCATATAATATTTTATAATCTTAAAAATATTTTTGAATATTCAATCATTAAGAGCTAGGAGAGAGAGATAAAAAGGTATATAGGTGAGATAAGAAATAAAAAAATATATATAGAAAATTTTAAATTCTTACTTTTTAAAAAAAAATTAAATTCTACAATTTTAAAGAATTTCACAAATGCTTTAATTTCAAATTCTTTGTAAATTATTCATCCAAACAAAATATTTAATCATAAGATATTTTAAATTTTATAAAAAAATAAATTACTCATTTAAATTTTTCATTCAAACACATTCTTAAAAAAAAATTCCTAAAATCCCTTCCATCAAATTAAAAAGTAGAAGATGAAAAATAACACACAAAACCAAAGAAAGAGAGAAATCAAGTGAGTAATCAATAAATTGAAAATGAAAATATAATTTAAACTAAAGATAAATGGATAATAAAAAAAATTCAATTAGGATTATTTAATTTAATTTTTTATCTCAAATTTTTTAAAATTACAATTCTAATATCTATGTTATTTGGTGGTCGATTAAAAAAAATTAATTTATAGTATTTTATAAAATAAAAATTTTATAAATCTTTACAAAATTTATAATCGCATGAAAAGAAAATCAAAATAAAGAATATCTTTATATAATTGTGTCACCAACTTGATTTTAACATGCATTTGATAATGAAAATAGAAAAAAAAAGTAGAATGAAATTGTAAAATCAATACCAGTTTATTCTTTTTTATTTGTTAAATATTTTTTTTTATTAAAAAATAATTTATAGAGGTAACACTATCGTTTATTCATAAATATTATATAAGTAAAAAAAATGAAATGTCATAGGGGCAATTGCTATTAGGACTGGGCAAAAGTTTTTTACCGATCCGAAATCGATTAAACTGACGCTCAAATTTGATGAAATTGATTGTTTCTCATTTATTTCAGGTTTTCCCAAGTGTAAATTTTAGGTTCAAACGAGTTTAGACAATTGGGCTCGGTGTTGGAATTTTCTCATCTGATATACTCGAACCCGACCACTCATCTTTTTCATCTTCATCTTCATATTTTTCATCGTTTATCGTCTTCATCTTCTTTATTGTATTCATCTTTTTCTACTTTTTCTTGTTCTTATTTTCTTTTCTTTTATTTCACTCGCAAACATCCTTTTCTCTACAACCTTTCCCTGCCATGGCCTTCGCCGCTGAGAAGCTCCTTGTTCCCTACTATGGTTGATGAGGGTGGTGATGTGAAGATCTAAAACTAAGCAATTTCCTCCAACGAAGTAGTGACGGAGACTAACGAAGGGCAATGATGGAGGGCGGCACGAGGTGTAAGAGGAAGCTTTTGAAATCGATGAACCCATCTATTTAACTCGCAACCCGCACGGATTAAACCCACCAAAAACTGAGACCTTCGTCAATTAGAGATGACTCTTGATTTTTCTTAATCGGTTTCGGGCGATTTTAAAGATTTTGGTCCGAAACTGGTCGTGGCCAACCAATGCTCAGGCCTAATTGCTACTACACTTGCGTGGCTATTAAATTTAGTTATAAAACAAAATATTTCTTTTTTAATTGTAATTTTGGTTAGAATTTTAAATTAATTTTATTTTTTAATTAAAAAGGTAAAAAAATACACTAAAAAGAAATTGTTACTAGTTTTTTTAGTAATCTTAATTTTTACATGTAACATAATGTAAATAATAATAATAATATAAATTTGTTAGCTTATTTCATTTATATAAACTAGTAGAAGAAAAAAAAACACTTTATACCTTTTAATTTTTGAAGGGTTTTAGAAGAAAATGGTTGTAAACATATATATTAAGATTTGAATAATGAGAGTGAAAAGTTTTTTTTTTTTATCATCAAGAGAGTATATTTTAAAGTTACATAATGTGTGGAAGAGTAAAAATGTCTAATAAAAAAAAATTGTTCCGATCTTAGAAGGTGACTAGGATTTTTTTTTCTCTAGCTTAACCACCAAAGACAGAGCATTCGAAAAGTATCTTTTGTGGTCTTAGGTCTAGGGTTCGAGATTTTATTATTACTTGTTCATGGGTCTTATAGATCCCAAAAATCTTGGGATTTTCTAAGGTAGTTTTAGTATTATGATATTTTGTTATTAAAGATAAGATTTTATTCCATATATGACTCTTTATATTAGATTTCTTCAAATATCCTTTTGGGGAGGTAGTGTTCATTAGGAGGTCGGCCTCCCCATGATCCTTAGGCATCCCCTCTTGACTCAGCTTTCATGTGTTCGGCCAAAGATCTCAACTAAGATCTCTCGGCAAAATCATCTCGAAATTTATCCGAGATGGTACACTTGCCCCCCAATCTTAAGCTTAAAAGGCGAAAGGGCTTGAGTAACGATTACAAAGCTTGACTTATTTGGTCATTTATTGATTTTGTTTAGGCATGTCTTTTCATATTATAACGAAAAAGATGTGCATGTATTGCAATGTCATTTTTGTAGAAAAGGTAATTGATCTTCTTGTCACATGGCATAATGTAAGCACAAAGTGAAGTGTGGAGCCCCCAAAATGTCAGTAGATGCGTCATTTCACGCGCACACTTATTGAAACTTCTCATGCGTGCCTCTTCACTCTTATAAATACCTTGATGTAGGGATGTTGCATTATTCATTTTCCTTATTCCCCTACACATTTTCTACTTCGATGAGCCAAAAGTTTGTATTTGGTTCTCGTTCTAGTGGTTTGCGATGGTCTTTTAGCGTGTCTTGTGATGGAGATGAGGATAACATTATTTGTGGACCTTATGTAGATAAAGAACCTGTGTGCATTAGCTTAGCCCTTAGGGTGAAAGTTTTACCTTTTGTTATGTGATTCTAATTGTCAAGCTTAAGGTTAGATGGCCCTTAACCGAATGTGAAAAGGGGGTACTTAGGGCATTAAATGTAGCATTAACCCAACTACACCTCAATAGCTAGTATTTTGTTAGATATTTTGAAATTTCGTGCCTTTGGCTTGACATTACCCCGATTGTGGACAATTTTTTCTACTTTTTTCAGTGTCATTCCAACAAACGAAGTAGTTAGGTTTTTATTAGTTGCAGGTCAAGGGATGTTATCTTTATGTCAATCATCTTATAAAGATTTCAAAAAATCATTTTTTCAAATTCGTTGCACGTTGGGCAACAAACATTTACTCGAGGGGTTTCCTCTTTATTAAAGTCAGAATCCAACATCGTATGGTAGTTTTGATTCCAAGAGGATTTCGGAGAATGACCAAGAGGATGTTAAAAAACTTGAGGAGCTCAAAACCATTTTCAACATAGCCAAACTACTAGATTTAGAAAATAGATCCAATGAACTAAAAGTTATATAGGTACTTAACATCTCTTTAACAAAAATCATTATTATTTTACTTATACAAGATATCGATATTTAACCCATCTTTACATGTTCTCCTAATCTCTTTTGTTTATTTGTTTTGTTGTAGAAAAAATGACGAGCAAATCCAAGCAAAAGTTGATGAAACTAAGGGAGCAACAAGAGGCTTCTAAGGCCATCGGTGTTGAGGGATTGGTTGTCGGGAAGGTTGGAGAAACCGGTTCCTCTCCTTTGCAAGGAAACAAGGTGGGCGAACCTTCTCATAATGAAAATGATAAGCCTATATCGATCATGAATTTGGATACAAGGATCGAGACAGAAGAACCCGAGGATGAAGTGGAGGTCCAATCTATTGAGAAGACCATAAGCATGTGCATTGGGAAAAACTAGGATCTCGTAGATCGCAACACCAAGCATGGTAAAGCCATATCCTTCTAGGATGAAAAATTTAACCACTCGGCCCATATCCGAGAGCCTAACTTGCTCAAAGGGGATAAAGATATCCTAGGGAAGATGAGGGTCTTCTCGATCGCCAAAGGTGTTAAATCCTTAACCAATCATCTCTTCGTTCTCCCCTTGATCAACGAGGATAAAATTTGTAGCATGGCTAGGGAGATCAAACTCCAAGGGAAAAAGATCACTACCCTAGAGGAGAGTTTGAGCAAAGAGAAAGCTAATTTAAAATGGGTTACCACTCAGAGAGACAATTTGATTGAAGGCCACCAAGGTTTTGATGAAGATAAGAGAGTTTGGGTAGCCGAGAAAGCAAGAATAGAGAAGAAGCTTGAAGAAACTCATCTCGCTCGAGACACAAATATTGATGCTACCCAAGTTTTTGAAAATGAGATCTTTTCATTAAAGCTTGAAATTGAAAAGTTATAGACCGGTCTCTAGGCCATTAAAATTAAGGCCATGAAAAAGTTTGTTGAAGGTGTTGACGTGGTCATGAATCAAATGAAGTCCTTTCATGCTGACATCAATGTCGGAAGCGTCAAATACTTCAAAAAGATCATTAATGGAAAGCTAGTAGATCCCTTAGAAGATGATTAGCCATTTGTGTAATGCCTCCCAATCGTTTAAGAAATAGTTTTTTTTGGCGTAGGAGAAGTTTTATCGTAGTCCCACGATGGCGCCAAAATGTTTCGATCCTGAAAGGTAACTAGGGCTTTTTTTCTCTCTAGCTTAGCCACTAGAGCCAAAGCATCCAAAAAGTATCTTTGGCCGTCTTAGGTTTAGGGTTTGAGATTTTATAGTTGCTTGTTCATAAGTCTTGTGGGCCTTGAAAATCTAAAGATTTTATAAGGTGGTTTTAGTATTATGATCTTTGGTTATTAAAGATAAGATTTTATTTCAGATACGACTCTTTATATCCTATTTTTTTCCAATACCCTTTTGGGGAGGTAGTGTACATTAGGAGGTTGGCCTCTTGGGTGCCCCCTCTCGGCTTGGCCTTCAACATGTTTAGCTAAAGATATCAACTAAGACCTCTCGAAAAAACTATTTTAGAATTTATTTGGAATGGAACAATATTATATGTACATATGTGTAAATATAGTAGAAGAAAAATTGTATGTTTGCATTTTGTTTTGAAAAATTGTACTTTGTATAAAATCACCTATTATGCTCAAATTCATGATCAATCTTATTTTGATAGGAGTAATTGATAATTAAATTTACATTATTACTTTTTATAATTTTATTTATTTTATCTTTTAATTTCTATAGTTTAGAATAGACTTTTTAATACATATATTCTTTTAATCTTTTTTAATTTCTATAGTTTAAGATATATATATTTTTAGTTTTAAATTTTCATGTTTTTAATTCTTTTATTTCCTTTAGTTAATTTTTTTTAACGTTGTTTGTTTTGTGTTGATATGATAGGGGTATTTAATTTTGTGAAGATATAAAAAATAGTCTCTCAATAATAAGCATGACATGTGAGGCACAAAAGAGGCACATAGAGAGACTAATTTAGAATAATTATAACAAGATAAATTTGACATTATACACAATTGAATTAATACCTTTGTCACATCAATATGATAACATTACAAAATAACATTAACGATAAGGATGAAAGTGATTAAAAAATTACAAGTATAAGGATTAGAAAATATTTATCTTAAATTATAAGAACTAAAAAAAGATTGAAAAAGACAAGTATAGGGACTAAATAGGTTTATTTTAAACTATCCGAACTAAAAAGTAAAGTAAGTGAAATTATAGGGATTAAAAAATATTTTTAACCTAAAATTTATTTATTTTCATAATTTAGTGTGAAAATAAAATATAAAATCCAAATTGTTTTAGTGTTGATGTAAAATTTTAGAAATCATGTTGCATATCATTTTTAACTAGTATTTTAGTATGGATATTTCACAAGTTAAATGTTTATTATATATAATTAAAATTTACAATAAAATATATATAAATAAATATTTTATTTGGATATATAAATTATATTTTAAATTTCTATATTTGTATAAATAAATATATTTTTAAATATATAAATTATATGTAAGATAAGTAATTTATATGACAACATAAGATTATTTTTAATTATTGATAATTTATTTTAAAAATATTAAAATTAATTCATAAAAAAATGTATGATAAAAAAAATTGAATTAAATAAGAAGTTAGAAATTTTTTTTAAAAAAGCTCCCATCGAATAATGGTCTTTAAAAATACTCTTGTACAAAATAATTATTTTCATTTAATAATAGATGTTGAAGGTTATTTTAATTCATGAATAAATATCATAAATAAAAAACTAAATTATATAAAAAGTTAACAAAAATTGCTACAAATACTTATGTAGAAAAATAACCCATAAAAACATTATTGCAAGATAGTTATTCGCTTTTTATATTTAAGAGTTGATATTTCTACTATAATATATCTAAACTTATCTCTCACACACATGATAATTTAGTATTAAATGACAATGTGAAAATTAAGAAGCATAGCTTATGATGTAATATCTGAAACTAATTATCATCATGAAATGAATAATAATGAGTAAGGCTTGAGTCAATTTGACAGGATATGGAGATGTTATAAACATTTGTAGCTTTTTTCTCTTTAGTTTACTGAGTTTGGATATCGAGTTCACTCACAGACTAACAAATCTTGTGATCATAATTTAGACAAGATCATAAATGATATTTCTCATCTCAAAGATTATTATTATTATACACCTTCATGTATTATTCAACAGATTTTAGTGAAATTGTATTAAGTATATTTTTATATATAAAAAATAATAATTTTAAATTAAAATTTTAAACAAATAAATATTTTTAATATATATAATTATATCATGTTTATAATTTTCAATAAATAAATATTTTGTAATCATATACATTATATTTTGAAGACTCTTTTAATGTAAGATGCAAAAAATTAATATCAAGTAATAAGATAAATTTTTTTATTAATATTTGTATCTTGAATTATACAGGTCTATTTCTATTTAACGATTTTTTATTTTTACAAATATACATATTTAACGTTAATAAAAAAGAATACGGAAATTTGTATTTTTAAAATTAAGCAACGAAGGAGGAAAAAAGAGAAAAACTTGGAATCCAATTCTCACATCTTAACTTGAAGTCCAACAACACCGTTGTCATTCAGATCACAGTCCCCTTGATTCCTGCTACCACATACTCTGTATGCACACCATCTCTTTCTTCCACTTCATAGATCAATGCATTTTTTTGTTGCTTGAGATAAATGGAATCAAAGTTTTGATTCTTTTGCAAAATTAGCAAATGGGTATTATATTCTTCTTTTTTCTGAACTCAGTTTCAGTTTCTGGGCTAGTCCATGCTACTTTCTACGCCAACGGAAAAGTTCTATTTTTAATTTTTTTATTATTATTACAGACCATAGTTCAGTGAAGTTGTCATCTTTTGACTAGGCATCATAAAGGGCATCTCATGTAGAAATCTAAGGCTTCAAACTCTTGTTCATTAAAATTTCCCAATCTCAGTGGGTAACATAGTATGTGCGTTAGAAAATCAATTTATGATGATTTCATAGGAGTTAGAACCACTAGTTGTAACCATAGTTTAAGCTTTTGATGTGTCATGAGTGCAATCAAGTTTAAATTTGCTGTTCCTAGAGTGATTCATTTGATTTATTTATTTATTTATTTTTGGATATTTCTCACAGTTAATTTTAATTTTTTTTATTTCTTCACTTTAGAAATTGTTCAATTGTTATAAGAAAAGTATAAAAAGGATAGATTGTTATGTATAATTTTAGTGACTTATGTATAGATTTGATCTCTGTTAAGCTGATGCAAATGTATTTGTTTCGTCTTATTCTTGTTATGTGCAGCAAAACCTGAAAATGGAGGGGACTGTCTTTGGTCCTGCACTGCAAGAACTTGAGCATGTAAAGTCTGAGCAAGGAGAAATTCTGACCAAGTCTTTCTTGGATGCGTGCAAGCACATATTGCCTGTAATAGGTGCGTGCTCTAGTCTAGGTTCCTTACCTTTTTTATTGGCACAAAGATAATGAAAGAAAGGAGGCTATGAATCTATTATGTTATTTGGATTTATTGTTGTAATAGGTTACCTTATTCTCGGCAAAAAAATGATAAAAGAAAAGAAGACTATGAACCTATAATGTTATCTGGAATTTGGACATTTTCCAATATTTCCTCCATTTCTTTTGTCTTTCTGTAATGGCAAGGAGCAATTTTTTTAAAAAAATATACAATGTGTCCAATGATATTACTTTCCTCTTTGAGAAATTTGTTTTTTAATGGTTAGGAGCAATTTTATTTTATTTGTTTCCTCCTTAGTATTATATTTGCTAAATCTTATTGAATTGTCCCCTCTGAGTCAGATAAGATGCATGAAAGTGTTTTTTTATTTTTTATTTTATTTTATTTTTTATAATTGACTTCTCTTAGAATTCATTCTCCTGTTTTTTTTTTTGTTTAATCACAAAAATGTGAAAAATGTTTTTGATTGCATTTGATTTATCTTTCTTGGTCACTTAGATATCTATGTTTTAATTTGTAAGGATAAAATTCATTGAAAAGAGAACACATGTACAAAACAGAATGATCAAGGATGTTTCTAAATCAGAAACTTGTTTGTGTGTTAACAGTCGAGAAATGTAATTTTTATTTTAGAGTCTCTCCTACTGCAGCATGTGCAACAAAATAGATTGTGAACCTAAGCATTAAATGAATATTTATATCATGGTTGAAAAGAGCTAACACTTTTCTTATGGCAGATAAGTTTGGAGCTGCTATGGCTCTTGTTAAATCTGACATAGGTGGTAACATATCGGTATGTTTTTGCCAATTGTTGTATCTTACTCTTACTTGACTATACGCTTTGTCACATACTTTCTTTCAGCTTTGGATTTGTAATTCCTTTCTTCTTCTCGTAACCTGGTATTGTTATACCGCAATGTTTGGTTGTGATTCATTTTGTTTTAATTTGTGAGTTTCTACCTGACTTGGATTAGAAGTCTTCATTTTAACTTGTTTAACAATGATAGGTTTGTAAATTGCGTAAATTTTAATAATACCAGGATCATATACTATGTGTTCTAACTCTATTATATTGATTTTCACGGCAGAGATTGGAAACTATGTATTCCTCCAATCCATCCAGATTTAACTACTTGTACAGTTTGGTGCAAGTAGAAATTGAAACTAAAACAGCTAAATCATCATCCAGTTGTACCAATGGACTTCTTTGGCTGACAAGGTACTGAACATCATGCAGTTGCGTTTAACTGGTGTTTCATATTGGTATAACATTCCCAATCTGTTATTAACTTTTTCTATAATTTGTATTATGTATGGAATTAGAATGACAAACAGGATATATATTAGATAACTAAAAAACTATACATCTATACCAGAAGCGGATTTCTGGAAGAAGTCTCGTTAAAGTCATTTGGGGTGTGATTTCCAAATTTTGGATCATAGTGTGACATGAAACTTGCCATAATTAATAGAGATTATATAGAAACATTATTGTGTGTAATCATAATTCATGCCTATGTGGATGCAAGAATGTTTAACATTACAAAATGTGTCTTGGTACTCTTATGTAACTTAGTTGTAAATCAACAAATACCATGTCTGTCTCTTTCTTCTAAATGATCAAAAGCCAGAACTCATTTCTGAACTGTTTGGAATAAATGGTAAACTTAATTGTGGACAGAAGCTTTAGAATCATTGATTTCCGATTAAGTAAAACTGAACAGATGGAATGCAGATTCAACCAGACAAAAGCTAGAACAAGCTTTGAGGTGAAAATTGGAGGTCATTTCATACCACAAATTACATGGTTTAGGTACCTGGGTTCTTTTGCATAAAGGGATAGAAAAATAGAGGGAGATGTAAATTATCAGATTTAAAGTGGGTGGGTGAATTAGAGAAATGCTTTAGGTACTATTTGTAATCAAAAGTGCCTATCAAGTTTGTTGAAATTATGGGATTTAAGGTATGGAGGGAGGAAAAGGAGAGAAGAAAGGCAGTGAATAATATGCTCTTGATACTGTGATGTTTTACAAACTTCAATGTGATGATGTTGTTCATAAAACCTAAAGCACTAACCCTTATTTATACTAATCATGATCCTATGTAACTAAATAAGAAAACAAATGATGAGATCTTAAGAAATATGGCAACTAAGAAAATAGTTAAACTAGCCCTAAAGAGATAATCTCTAAGATACCCTAAAATATTTTAAGATACAATCTTGATATTATTAGATACTCTAAATAATTCTATGATACTCTATAGATATGATCAAGATATTATAGGATATTTTAATGCATTATAACAAATCTCTAGGCAATATAGTGTCAAAAAGAGCAGAAGTTGCTGAAATGAGAACATTGCTGCCTTGCTAGAGATGAGTGGACATACCAGAAAGGGTAAAATCACGAATGGATATATTAGGGAGAAAGTAGGGTAGCATATATTAGGCAAAATATGATAAAATTTTGCCAAGATTGTTTGACCATGTGAGAAATAGAGCAATAGAAGCTCTGATAAGAAGATCTGATCACATGAAGACCAATAGAAGCCCAATCAATAGAGGTTGAGAAAGACCAAAAAGGAACTCTAAGTGTAACCTTAAAAAGGATGTATATTTAGATGGCATTTTTGAAGTTGGATGTTGTCATAGTACAATGATGATCATGTTGCATAGCCCACATAGTAGGTAACAACTTGTGTTGTCATTGTATTTTTCTGCACTTGATGAATCATTTACACCTGCTTCAATTAGACTTCTTTTATTTCTTTTGAGATAATTATAAATCTTCAGCTAGTTTAGCTCATCTTTTGCAAGGTGTTGAGGCATATTTGCTGATCAGAGACCTTTGCTATTGATTATTTGTTCATACAATATTATTTATGATACATTTATTTCTGTACAATATAAAATCTCTAGAGCAATGGATTTCTTGGTGGCTTTGTTCCGAAACTTAATTGAGCATGAAGATTGGCCAATGTCACAAGCCTGTACAGATTCCTATAACAAGACTCTGAAGAAGTGGCATGGCTGGCTTGCTAGTACAAGCTTCAGTGTAATGTTCTTTATTATGCTTTGTTGATATGATCTTGAAAGCATTTTTTATAGAAACTCAGTTATTCAAGCCATGTAATATAATGTTGTTTCATATTGGGCTAAGTATGTGGAATGTGAATGACTGGCATTGAAATAGTAATCCTAGAAAATCCATCGAGTTTACCATTTGCATCATTGTGCTGCTATCAACTCTCTACTATCTTTGCTCTTGATCATATGAATGTAGCATGAGATATACATTTGACTACTTAAATTATTACTTTATTTGTGCTAATTTTTGGTATTTAGGCACGTAGCATAATATCGTGAATAAATGAGCATAATGATGTTGTGCGGTCATTCAAAGAATTTAAATACTGATGATATAATAAACCTACATCTTCTATTTTCTTCTAAGGGAGTAAGTGGCCCGAGTTGAGTCAAGTTTGGTATAATTTAAGACCCAACCGAGTGAAACATAGTAAGGTTGAGATGGATTAGGTTCTCTATTCTTGGTAAAGCAAACTGACTACCCGACCTTTATCAGGTTGGTTTGGGTTGAGTAATTGGGTTGACGGATAATAATATATGTGGAAATTTGAAAATGGAAGGGGAAGGGGAACAACAAACGAAATGACTGAAATGAAAATGAATGATAAGTTACTAAAATGCAAAAGAAAAGAGGGGAAGTGAAGGGTGGTTCATGGCTGCAATGGTGGGGAAACGGTGACAAGCATGAGGCTTGGACAGTTCGAAGAGCGGCAGCAGTTCAAAATTGATAGGGTTACGAGTCTTCATGAAAATGGTCTCTGGTCTGGCTGTAGGGTTACACATACTGATAAATGATTGAACTAAAATAATTATTATTTTATTAATTATTACCAATTATAATTAGATTAGCCAAAATAAACCCAAACTAGGGTTGGGTTGGGAACTCATTACCCATTATAATTGGGTTAGACTTAGCCAAAATAAACCCAGACCAGCACGATGAAATGTAGTTGTATTGGGTTGGGTTGACCAGGTTTGTGAGTTGATTTCGACCAGCTTACAGCCCTATTTTTTTTGCAATAATCTATTTAATCTTGATCAAAGCATTTAAATACCATGCAGTGTTACCTTTTCTGACTGTCTCTATCATTGTTCCCTTGTTTTGTGTTATTTTATTGGTTGAAAAGATAGTATAGTATATATAGTAGTATATGGAACTGAATAAGGTTTTGGGATGTATTAAATTTGAGCTACAGGTAGTCATGAAGCTTGCTCCTGACAGGAAGAAGTTCATGGATGTTATAGGAGGCACAGGTGATATCAATGCTGACATTGAGAAATTTTGTTCAAACTTTTCTCCTCTCCTTGAAGAGAATCACAAGTTTCTGGTAAGAACTAAGATGTCTTGGATCATTTTTATGCTTAATGATCATTGTTTAATGACATTGATTTGAATGAGCTGGAATGTGGCATTGTCAATGTGGGTTGAGCCATATTCTGGTAGCAATATATATGAAATTAAAAGCATTCAAATATAGTTTCATTGTTAAATAGTTTTGAAAACTGGATCAGACCAACTGGTTCAATAAGCCGGTACAATCGGATTGAGAACCAGTGTGAACCAATTACGAGACTAGTGAAAACCAATTTAGAAAATCGGTTTGGATTGATATTATTCAAAACAATATATATTTTTAAATTTATTTAAAATATTTTTATGATAAATAAAAAACATATTTAGTAAGGATTACAAATTGGAATAAATTATTTTATTAATTATTTTTACTAATTTTCTTTTAAAGATATAATTTAGTCTTCTGTATTAATTTACAATTTTTGATATCTTGATATTTTTGAATTTTATCTTATATTAATTTGACATTTTTTTACTCTAGATGTAAATTTGCATTGTTAATAAACATTGTTATATTAATTAAAATTTAAAATTAAATAGTATATTTGAACTTTACATGTATTTTGAATGTTAAGAACTTGTAAAATGTTTTTTTTTTATTTTAATTTTAGTGTTATAAAATTATTATTTATATATATTTAATATTGTTTTATGTATTATTTAAATATCATTATTATTTTATTAATACCCGTCGATCCATTGAACTTTAAACAAGTGTCTTGATTGGTTCATCAATTCATTGATCAATCTGATTTAAAAACATCGATTGTTTTAGCTTATTCTAATTATAACCCTTGTCAATTGATTCCATGAGGAAAATACTTCTATGATAGTTTAAGAAGTATATATGTTACTTGGTAATGACAATAGGTGAAATCAATACTCAATTTACTAAATAACTATAGAAAATTGCAAAAAAAGTAAAATGAGTGACTAATAGTGTGTAGGAGCCAGCATTTACAATTAGATGATCTTGATTTTTCAACATTGATTTTGGCTAAAATTGAGTTTGAAGTTAAGTGATTTATATTTGAAAAGTTGGTATAAGAGTTTCAATCAATGCAACAGGTAGCTTAAATTTTCTTTTTTCACTTTCAGTCGAACAGACTTATAATCATGTTTAGTTGGAAAAACTAAACATGATCTTTTGAATGCTTTGTTGAACATAGCTTAAATGATTCTGAAAGACATTTGCTCTTTGAGAGTACAAGCAAGAAGAGAAAACAAAATAATGATAATATGGAGAACAGCAAAAAATATGGTTGATGATCATATAAAATGTAAAGAGAATGATGTTAGTTGGTTACAGAAAGTAAAAGGTTTATTTGGGAAAGACAACAATCTTATTCTTAGTGGAAGTCATCAATATTAACAGTGTTAAATTATAGTTTTTTTACACTCGAACTCAATAAACATGTTTTGTACAGGCTCGTTTTGGCTTGGATGATATGAAGGCATCATAAATGACATTCATGGTCAAAACTGATGAGTGACTCTTGCATGCTCACCCTCATTTCTTGTTGACTTTGTAAACCTTGTCATCTAGCATGATAAATAAGCATCCACTTTTGTACCGCTAAGTACTCTAATCATAGTCTTTCTTTGTGATATCAAAATTTGTTACCATATATTACGAGGTTAAGACTAATGACTTTTTCTGCAATACCATGTAGAATATCTTGGCCATTATGTAATTGGCTAGAACCAAACTTATTCAACTTTGGCTCAGCATATGACCGTGATTATATAATTTTTTTACATTCAATTATAATATTTATAACAACTGTTTATGAAATAGAGTGATAAAAATTGTCACCTACATTTGAGTCAAATCAAATTGCACTTTCCAGAAATTTGGATTTTTTTCATGTAGTATGATCCCAACATTTTTGTTCAGGATATTGTTCATGATAATTTGATTGGTATGAAGCTATGCTGTGTGACAATTGCACGGACATGCATGCTGAAAATTTTACGCAATGAAATATTTTCATATAAAAGAAAATTGATTGTATGTGATGAAATTTTAGTAAGTGAAATCAATGATTTTATGCGAACTCATTTACAAAGTTGTATCATTTAATTATTTAGTTAGCTAAATTATATATTTTTTATTTTATTTGTTAAACTCATTTTAGTCCTTTATCTTTTAAATTATTCATTTTAATTATTTATTTCTTAAATTCAAACTAATTTAATCATTTTGAAATAATAATTGTTTTCAATTTTAAGACATAATTTTGAATTTTTTTTATTAATTTAAAACTTAAAATTTGTTTTATTAGATTCATTTATATGTGAAAATAATTGAATAAAATTGAAGTTCAAACAAAAATAATGACAAACATGGTAAAAATTACATAAAATAAGTCTAAAGGGAAATTAAAATTTTTAAAAAAATATATAATTTCATACTATTTTTTATTGTTTATATAACTTATTTTTCAA